AAATTTTAGCTCTTCTAGCTGGGTGTAGTTTTAGTGCATTGCAGTTTTAATTTGAATATTTCTAATGACTAAGATTGAGCACTTTTTCATACGCTCGTTGAACATTTTAATTTACTTTTTTGTCACGTGCCGGATGAAATCTTTATCTGCTTTTCTACTGGGCCATTTGGATCATCTGTCTTTTTCTTACTGATTTGTAGAAATTCTATACGTGTTCTGGGTGAGATTCTTTGTTAGATATATGTAGTGCTGATTTTTTTGTTCTCTGTGGCTTGGCTTTTCATTCTCTTTATGGTTTTTAGTTTTAATACAACTCTTATTTTTCCTTTATACTTAATGATCTTTTGTCCCATTTACAAAATCTCTGCCTATCCTAAGATTGTGGAGATATCGTCTACATTTTTTTCCTGAAAGTGACCGTTGCTTCCTTCTCCTCCTCTTCCTCTTCACTCTCCTTCTCCTCCTCCTCATCCTTCTTCTTCAGGATTCCTATTTTTTTTTCATAAAAGTACAATTTACACACAAGAAAATTTACTCTTTTTAGTACACAGTTCTTCAGGCTTTGACAAATGCATGCAGTTGGGTAACAACCACCACAGACAAAATATCGAACAGCCATATCAGTTCCACAATAGTCTTTCCTTCTTAAACTTTAAGTTTTTCCTACTCCACGAGACTGCTGAAAACTCTGCTTTGCCTCTCAGAATGCTCTGCTTCACTTTTTATTCTTTTATATCCTCTGTCCTTTATATTTTGGCCTATCAGGTCCTGTTTACTGCAGCAGCTCTCTGATGGCTTCAAATAGCTTTTGGATTTGGGGAATTTGGCCCAGATTTTCTAGTTTTTCTAGATGAGAACATTGGACTACTACTAATTAGGCCATCATAGGCAGATACCTAAGTCATTCTAACCATATTCAAAAAGTTTATTAAAACCCTCCTCCCAGATGGGTGAGGTGGTTTATCCCTGTAATCTCAGTAACTCAGGAGGCTGAGCCAGGAGGATCATTTGATGCCAGGAGTTCAAAGAAGCCTGGGCAATATAGCAAGATGTCATCTCTTTAAAAAAGAAAGAAAGAAAAGAAAAGAAAAGAAAAGAAAAGAAAAGAAAAGAAAAGAAAAGAAAAGAAACAGCTGCTTGGGAGACTAAGGCAGGCAGGAGGATTGCCCAAGCACAGGAGTTCAAGGCTGCAGTGAGCTATGATTGGGTCATTGCACTCTGCCCTAAGTGACAAAGCAGACTTCATTTCTAAAAACTAAAAATAAAACAACCTCGCCCCCCCCCAAAATAAAAAACGGTCCTCCAAAACATTTTTAAAAATAGATATCAAGAAGGTAAAAGAAAATGTCAATGTTGGTATCTATGACTATCCCATGTGGTCAGTCATGGAAAGAGCTTCAGAATAAAACCAATCTGGGTTCCAGTTCCAGCTCGGCCATATATTAACCATATAAGAGTTAATCGGAATCTGTTTGCTTAATTTCAAATGAGGATGATAAAAAGCAACTAGTTTCATAGTTTTCTCATGAACATTAATGAGAACAGACATCAGGAACCTTGCGCATAGCAGGTAATAGTTATAGATGTCATGTGATGTGTTATCATTTCTCTTGGAACTATAAAATACACTCATGTCCTAGAAATGGTGGAGAAGGATGGGCTAGACACATAATGCATTTTTTCTTTAAATATCGTAGAGTTATGCATAAATCATCTGAGCTGAAGTACTCTTCAAAATCTATTTGAATGCTTTATATGACAGATAAGGAAATGAGTAGTTAAATGACTTGGTCAAGGTCAATTCACTTGTTAGTGTTTATTTAAATGATCCAAATTCTCTAAGATTACATATTTTCTTCCTTCTAACATACTCCTAGCTCCCATATTCAACTATAAATGTAAAACAGAGACAATTATTAATGTTTTATTGTTACTGGCTCCTTCTGACTAAAACCCATAGATCTATTTTTAAGGATTTTATTTTAATTTCCATCTCCACCAATTATGTGCCTTCCTGCCAACAAGACTGAAATAGCTGCTCACCATTCCTTTCCCATTCCAAGGACTATGTCCTGTGGCTTTTCATTCTTCTGTTATTAAGAAATTGTCTGCTTTATGTTCTGACATACAAGACAGAAAGGGGCTCATGGTAACCTCAAATACTCTGCTCTCTACCAGTTCCCCAAGTGAGAAAGAGAGTGGGGAACTTCTGTGATGCAAAAGTGACCATGTGTGCCCCTGGCAGTGTCCTCTCTGGGAAGGGACAGATTATTAGCGTCAATACCACCCTCATGCTTTCTAGAAAAGGCAGCATTTGGGGATCATTTTTGGTAAGAGCCTTTGTTCAGCACATCTTTCAGCATGAGCTACTGAGGGACAGATGAGCCCAAATCCTATATGAAATGAATAACTTGGAGAGCTTCCTGGTCACAGAGCCCACAGCCATCTCATAAAAGCCTCACACCAGGATCCTGTAGAGCTCTGGCTGAACACTTTCCTCAGAGCTGTGCATGGTGACTCCTTCCTATCAGTGTATCTTCAGCCTAGTTGCCCCCCCTTCAGAGAGACCATTCCTAACCATTCGACCTCCAGGGAACTTGCACGGTCTTCTTCACATTCTACTGTTTCATTTGCTCACAATCAGAAAGTTGTTTTGCTTGTGCCCCACCGCAACGTATGTGCCATGAAAACAGAGTCCTAATTCATCACCATGTACACAATCGTGAAGCAAACAACTCCCTTACTGAACAAGAGCATGTGGGCTTGTGCCCTGCATTTTTTGTTGTTGTTGTTTGAGATCCATTGAGGGTACAAAGAATTAAGTTACATCGATTGCATTTGTTAGGTAAAGTCCCTCTTATAATTGTGTCCTGCCCCAAGAGGTGTGCCATATGCCATAACCCCCCTCCCCCACCCTTGTGCCTTCTCACCACTCCCTCATTCTCCTGCCCCCTACTTTGAATCAATTTGAGGTTTTCTCTTACAAGGCTATGTATCAGATCATCTACTGGCTTCATACGTGAATTGAGTACATTAGATTCTTGCTTCTCCATTCTTGTGATTCTCTACTAAGAAGAATGTGTTCCGACCTAGTCCAGGTTAATGCAAAAGATGTAAAGTCTCTATCTTTTTTATGGCTGAATAGTATTCCATGGTATACATATACCACAGCTTGTTAATCCATTCCTGGTGAGCATTTAAGTCACTTCCACATTTTGGCAATTGTAAATTGACCTGAGATAAACAGTCTAGTGCAAATGTTCTTGTGATAAAATGTTTTTTTTTTTTCTTCTGGGTAAATGCCTAGTAATGGGATTGCAGGCTTTTGAATACTGGCTTCACTCTTAGCTGTGTAAATTCAGGCAAATGACTTAAACACAATGAACTTCTCAGTGCATATCCTAAGATAAGATTGTGTAACTTACAGGGTTATTATAATGATCAAATGAAATAAATATGTGCTTAGCACAGGACTTAGCTCTAAAAAATACTTAATAAATAATAGCTATTATTATTATTTCCATATTGAAAGTGAAACACACTATGAAAGGGTCATTTAGGGACTGTTTAATAGAAACAGTAATGTTGAAGTCGAGGGACCCTAATTCAACCATGCAAGGTAAAATTTTAAATTAATTAAAATCTGCCTCTTCGTGATGGCTATATAAAGGTGCTCATTTTCATAAAGGATCCCTAATTTAGCCTTTGCGATGACTTCCTGTTATAATAAGTCATCATTTGAGACCCTCCCCTCTTCCCAACCCCTTGGTATCCATTTGGAAAATGGTGTCTTTCTGAGAACACTTGTGGTAGAAATTGTAAAGTAGGATTTTAACTATTTTTTTGTAAACGTGTGCTGGCAATATTTTCCCATTTGCGTAACTTAGAAAGACCCTCGTTATTGTTTCTCACCATACTGAGTGGCTTCAGCTAGAGGTCTCCTGAAGCCTCTGAGAAAATCACTAACTACTCTTGTAGGACTAGAAATCTGATCAAGAGGAGAGAAATTACTTTTCTTCCTTTTATTACACCTCGGTTCTCCCATAATGAATGTTTTCATATAAAACCCATTTCTCCCTATGCCTGAGGAGATGGTTAAATCAAATGAGCAATAAAGAGTGCCTGGCTGCTTGCCGCTGGCTGAGGTGGGGTCTGGGGAAGGAAGACAGGCTCATTGGCCTAACGGTCCAGCTCCCTTCCCGTCTTCCTTCATCGTGGGTCTTTTCCTTCCTCACCACATCCGGTCTAGACTCAGCTCTGCCAGCAGTGAACTTTGGCAACAGCTTCTAAGCCAGGTCAGCCAGGATCTACGTGTTGGGCACTGCCCTAACAGCTATGGCTTAAAGGGCTGCAGCGAGGCATGGCTCTCTAGGCCACGTGGGTGAAGTTGCCAAGTCACTGACAGTGAAAGATCTTCAGACAGGGAGAAAGAACTTCATTAACTTTTAGACCCTTAGACCCTAAATCTGAAACTGAAAAGGAAGAAGCTTACCTAAAGACAAATCTGCTCTTAGTCCCTCTTAGCCGTTAAGCCTTTCTACTTTTGTGTCAAGATTAGTTCATGAATATACACAGACACGATAGACTAAAAAAAAAAAACACTAAAGACTAAAAAAAAAGTTTTCCACTTATAGCATTTTCTCCCTCAATTTCCCCCTTATTTATTCTCAAATAAAAAAAAATATTGAGGGGATTAGGAGGAGAGAAAGAGATACTTGGCAAATAAATACCGTCTCTACCAATGGGTTTCTGTCAACTAGTCTACTTTCTCTACTCCATGATTTAGAAAAAATGAGAGATCGACTTTGTAATAATTGTACTTATTTTCTTTCAAATGTAAGCGCATAATAGCTATTTCTATCCATGTCGTATTTCCCCATTAAGGTCCTAACGAACAATAATACCTGAGGAAGAAATGACATTTTAAAATACATAGTTTATATTAACTAGAATTGATTCAACTCAATCATGTTTCCATGCATTTTATTTTTAAATTCCAGGTATTGTTGAAACAGTTCAAGAGCATCAAATTGAATTCCACAAGGACTGGTGATCAACTGGAAGACTCCAACATCTGGCTGCTTACCTGTGAGTAGAGTTTAACCTTTGCTTTGGGCTCTGATTTTTAGCAATTACAGCCTCTCTGCCTGATTTCCTAAATTCTTGCACCTAACGAGGCCCTGGAAAAAACCAGTCTTTCTGCTGCATACTTTAATATAATATACTTGACCAATTA